TTACGCCTCATGTGACGGCACCCTTAAAAGTTCGGTCTCCTGTTCTCTAATAGGGTTTTCGAGTGTAACATCTCGTCATTTTTTCGAAACCGTATTTTTGTGCGCTACAAATCTTTCTAAATAATTACTTAAGAAATGCAATTGTATTTCTCAATATTACTATTATTATTCACTATTCATAATTATTGGGACAATTTTACTAACCGTACTAACATATAGGGTCTTCCTAGTTCTAACTAAACGGCTCAGCCAATCGGACAGCGTCACTAGACCTCACCTGAGCGCATACTTCCAACCATACGACTAACTGAACCGCATATAGATGCGACACTAACATGTTCAAGATTAAGAAACAATAGAACTTATGGAATCATGCCAGTAATAATTAATAAAAAACCACTCCTCAACGTTTAAAGTCGACCAGACTGGCGAAAAAAACTTCGCCAGTCTGGTCGACTTTAAACGTTGAGGAGTGGTTTTTTAATAATTATAATATTTCAAATACTTAAATGATTGATAAGATGCTTCAACCACCTTTTAAAAAAAGGGGCTTCTAGCCTTGATAAAATTATTATGAAGATTCCATAAATCTCTAGCTATGCCTGATCTGAGAAACGCCGTTTTATCGGGCGTTAACTTGTCAATTATATTCACGAAACCTTACCTTCTAGATTATTGAATAATCTCATCAAAAATGACATTTCAAGAATTTAAGATTTTAAGATCTAATCTATAATAAATAAATTACAGTAAGATTTACGTAAATATAACTATATAAGAGAAAGGGCATATATCGTATCATGTAATCGAAATATATAACCCGAACTCTCGCCGCTACATCGTGGAATTGTAATCATATAATTTAGAAATTCTCAGCGCTCCCGCTTATATATTAGCGACGATTTTCTACCTTATAATTTATTCCTCAATTTTAAGTAATATAAAATAAATTATATGAATTGTATGATTCCACGTTTGTAAGAAATAAGCACATCTATGCGCGAACTCTCTGAAATACGCTCTTTAAAATTTAATAATCATGTTGATTGAATTTATCCGTTAGTTTTAAGGCGATTTAATTCTCAACTCTGTCGGCCGAAAAACCCTCGCTACTGTTCGACGCTTCTTGGAATCTGTATCTTGGCCGAATCGTTATCCACCCTCCCTCCATACCGCATCGCCTCGGTACCCTACGCGCCGAAGCCCATATGCATGTCATAAATTATGCCTCTATTTGGAACTCTTGCCCTCCTAGACATTCCATTGGCTCTCCTCCTTTTTTCCACACATATCACTTACACCGATGATCTCGAGATACAGTTTACGAAGGAACCCCCACCAAAGGGCGCAAAGTACAAAGACTTTTTCCGATTTCGATGGGTATATAAACCCTGTCGGTCCCAGCATCAGCGCGGCATAATTATACTCGGCATATTACGACACACTAGATACTGCATCTCATTGTGTCACTCTAAATTTCTGTACAAAACTTTGTCACGCGTTCGCCGTCGACGACGTTGACTTTCCTTATTAATCTTTGATCGCGCATAGTTTGTAAAGTAAAGAGAGTTACAATAAAGAACTTTAAACCATTAGAATCTGTGTACCTTGATTTCGCAACGCGCATCCCGACCGAGGTCTTCTAAAGAGGGTGACGACAGGTGAACGTGCTGCAGAGCGACGGTATATAAAAGTTCATCCAACGTAAGGTAAGTACCTTTCACACTAACAAAGATTTCTCTAATATATTACTTGCATGAGAATCTAAATCCTATTCAGAAGTCGCGCTAGATCAATAATTATCATCCTACTATTATTCTCCTGTGCTCTCTTTCTCTATTCTTTTATAATTGTCGAGCAGTGCATTAATTTGTCTTCTGCCCTTGATGATTTCCAGCCTCCTTCTCCATCCTTTTATAATCGTCGAGCAGTGCATTAATTTGTCTTCTGCCCTTGATGATTTCCAACCTCCTTCTCTATTCTTTTATAATCATCAAGCAGTGCAAAAATTTGTCTTCTGCCCTTGATGATTTTGCGCCTTCTTTCTCTATTGTCGAGCATCTTTTTTCGTCTCGTCAATGCTTTAATAATCATTGAGCACTGCGTTCAGCTCTTGATTATTTCGCGCCTGCTCTATCTATTCTTTTATAATTATCGAGCAGTATAGTGCTGCCCTTGATAATTTTGCGCCTTCTTCCTCTATTCTTTTATAATCGTCGGGCACTGCGTTCTGCTCTTGACAATTTTGCGCCTTTTTTCTCTATTGTCGAGCACCTTTTTTTTCGTCTCGTCAATGCTCAAATAGTCATTGAGCACTGCGTTCTGCTCTTGATTATTTCTCGCCTGCTATATCTATTCTTTTATAATCATCGAACAGTACAATTCTGCCCTTGATGATTTTCCCTCATTTCCCACCATCGAACTTTCTTCACCTCCCGAGAACTACCCATTTATCTCCCCTTACTACAATAAACCAAATAAACACTCTGATCTAGACGCATTCTAACTCCATTGTAGATGAGCAACTAGAAAGCTAAAAATGAACGGCGAAATAATCGAAACCATCGAGCCGGCGTAAAGACCCGTGCAAAGCACGTAGCCGCGTGCCTGCGGTGGTTAACACGCGAACAGATTGCCAATAAACCTCGCATCAAAACAATCGAGACGGTTTCGTTCCCTCGATACATATTGCGCAGCTTCTGGAAGACTAACATTTCTCCTAATTCTACCAACTCACAATCAGCTTTAACACCCGCGTCTAACAGAATTAAAATCGAGCCTACGGAAGGCCACACTCCAGATCTACCGGCAGCCACTTCAGACCTATTAACTTACCTCGAATTAAATAGGGAATCTAAACCTAAAGAAGACACCTCACAAGGAGAGTTATCACATATTGATTTAAGTACGAGACTAAAGGACCAATTACCAGAGAACGATATACAAATAGACCAATACACAGCCTATTTGCAAAATTAAATTAAGTACATTTGTATATTCATATAAAATATCTAATAAAATGAAATAAAACTTACTATTTGTTATTTCAAATGAAACCTAAATTTTCGGATAAGACTGTACAAAACCTCAGGAAAATAGGTCTTTATTCTATTATTGATATTATTATTGGACTATTAATTGACTTAGCTACGGGATTAATAGATGCCGATTTATTCGCAGTCCTCATAGAAAATCTTTATATTCCCAAAGGGAAATTAAGAGTAGAAATTATAAGATATCCCGAGGACAATTTTGATCCCTTTCTCTAAATTATAAATAAACTGCACAATTGTCGGTAGAACTATAAACGAGTTTGTACTCTTAGGTTTGTTCGCGTCGCATGCTCCAACTTGCTCCTTTTTATTTCAATGCGCTCGTATTGGTCTAATTCGAGGAGCGCACCAATACGAGCGCATTGGAGTAAGAAGGAGCATGTTGGGGCATGCGACGCGAACAAACCTCTTGCTGCCATTGTAAGGTTTGTTCACGTCGCATGCCCCAACATGCTTTTCTTACTCCAATGCGCTCGTATTGGTGCGTTCCTCAAATTGGACCAATGCGAGTGCATTGAAGTAAAAAGGAGCAAGTTGGGGCATGCGACGCGAACAAACCTGTAGACCCCGCTAAAAGGAGCAAGTTGGGGCATGCGACGTGAACAAACCTCTAAGGTTTGTTCGCGTCACATGCTCCAATGTACACCAGAGAGCACTTGGATCACAGATAAGATGGCGGTTGGATCAGATGGGTTTATGTGCACCAACGCTCAGTGACACGAACGGATTTGAGCACTCCCTTCCCTTCCAATCGCACATCGTACATCATTGACCGATTAATTTTAATGATACCAGTTTAGGTTTCACAGCTGAAAAATAAAACTATTAATATAGTACAATATTTATGCAATTTAAATTATCTTAGAATAAAATCATTTAATCTATCTCTTAGAATTTATTTTATTAGTTAATTAAGTAAAAATATAAAAAGTATTATGAGTATTTAAGTAATCAGCATCATATATAAAATTCTTACCTGAATACTTAAAAGAAGTTTCCATTGTGAAATATCAATAAAGACAGTGACGGCGTAGCCGAATAATAAAAGCGAGGTTATTGGACTACCCGACTATCTTGAGCAGTGGATACTGTTTACAGTACACGCTTTACACGCATGCGCGATAAAATAGCCCCAAATGCACCACCTTCGAAGGTGAGGCAAATAGAGCGTGCTCCTAATTGCTCCTTAGAGTATGCTCTAACGTGACGCGAACATCTAGTCGCCATCTTGTTTCCGGTGACACGAACGTATTGGAGCGCATTGGAGTGAGAAGGAGCATGTTAGGGCATGCGACGCGAACAAACCTCTAGTCTTCTTGCAATACACATAACTTCGTAGCCCCAAAATGGCGGCTCATAAGAGGACCTCCTTTCCCTCCCGTCGTTTATCTACGGACCTTACTCTGACATTGTGCAAGGATCATAGAAATGAGAAATCAATTTTTTTGCGATATTAAAATAAGCCATGAATCTTTATAGCCAGGTAGCAGACTGACGTTAAGTATCAAAATAACGTCATCGATGTCAAAGAATACGTTTACACGGCACCCTTAATCAGGTGTAATAACATCTGTAGTTGTAAGACTGGCCAATCACATCCGTTCCATTCTTCAGGGGAATAGCTGTGATTGACCAGTTTTGCAACTATGGATGTTATTAAACCCGATTAAGGATGCCGTGTAAACGTACTCAAAATAACGTCATTTTGACATTTAATGACGTCAATCTACTACCTGGAACTGTTTAATATCGAATTTTTCATGGGTCAGTTTTTGTTAGAATCTATGTGTAAAACTTTAATTATTAATAATTTTTGAATAAATTACCAGAGCTCTAATATATGTAAGTCATGATAATTAAGATTGAGGCTTTTTTGCGCATATTTATTTATAATTATTTATAAATATTATAATTATATATAATTATATATTTTTACAAACACACAACTTCAATATTTTTTTAATTCTCTGTATTAATTATCAACGATTCCAGAGTGTTATAATGAAAGAATTTTCGTAATAATTCATATATAATATATATATATATATATATATATATATATATATATATATATAGTTTAATAAAGGAGAGAATTCTCGATATTTCTTCAGATATTTAATCTACGTAATGGCTTAAAATAGCCATTTCCAGAAGAGCCTAGATGTTCGGGCCAACTTTGATGTAATGAAATATTCTTACAAGTTTGATTAGGCAACATATCCTCTGGACATACACACTCTAACTTTATTCTGTATATTGTCATTTGACCAAGTGCAATTTTAGTATTTTCTCTATCCATTGATTCTTGATACAGTCTATAATTGATACCTCGCTCAGATAAACATTCACTGATAATATCATCATCTTTCTTGTACGGAAGTTTATTCCTGTCTGATAATGCTTTCTTTCTATGAATGCATTCCAGATCCGCTTGTGTTAGGATTAAAGACACTTCGGACGACGGCAGCCAGAATGTAGAAAAGACTAGATCCACCGAAGTTTTTCTTTCGGATTCGGCGATAGATGGTAACAGAATACCAGTTGGTGGTTGTCTATGAACGCCATTAATACCGTTCGATTGATTAGTTTCAGATTTTCGTTTTACTCTTCGCCTCTGTTGTATTCGATAATTTTTATCCTCTATTGATGATGTTGCTAAAGATTGTTTCTTATTAATTCTGGTTTTACTTCGATTTTTCAGCGATTCCCGTTTAAATACTTTTTCTATACTAGTATCATCGTCCGTGTCCTGAACGATATTTAGAAAACTGTGCTTATAAATCTGTTTTTGCTGCATTGTGTCTACAACTTTGGAAGTTTCTGTATCATTTATTCCAATTGAATTGCTTTTAATTACTGTTGATACATTTACATTTTGCATTGTAATAGATTTTATATTTGATCTATCATTCAACATGGTTGATGTTTCTTCGTCAGATTTTACATTTGATGTATTCGTTAGTGACATATTCATCGTATCCGTTTTGTTCACCGAATTATTGACTTCGGTATAATTAATTTTTTCCATTACTTTTTTCTTCTTTACATTAATATCCTCGTTATTCAATTGCGTATTACGTTGTATTAATTCAAAAGGTAAGGAATCATTAATATTTTTCGAGATATGTTCTTTGTAAGAAATCCTTATGAAATTTGAATCTTTAATTTCGGCACTTCTCTGTTCTCGCACTTGCAGATAATCCATATCTTGTTCCTGTTCTCCAGCTTCGTTGTTATCGTTATCATTTTTATATAGATTATTATACTCCTTATTTGATTGTATGTTATCTTCTGTCCATTTATTATTTTGTTTCCATACTCGATCAATGTTCAAATTCTTCATGATATCGTCCTCGACATAATCTTCTTTCTTGCGATTCTTGAATTCGTCAAAATTTTCGTCGTACACTGCATCCGAATCGTATTTGCCCATCTCCGCAAGTAGATCATCTTTATGCTTGAAGATACTCCCTTCCTTTTGACTTTTATGAATCACCTTTGGCGATCTTTCGGAAACGAGCGGTATATCAGCATAAGAATCCATAATTTCGAATCTATGATGGGCGTCCAGAAATTTCTCTGCCTCTTTTCGCGGATCAAACGAATTATTGAACTCCAGTGACTTCCAATCTTCCGAAAAATACAAGGACACTCCGGGTGGGCCAACATGTTGGCTCAGAGCCAGCAGTTTCATGGTGAGAGTCGAATTGAATCTCAATTGGCAGAGATCGGCCCGCGTTTGCGACACCAGACTTTGACCCTTCAAGAACTGATATTTTTCCTTAATCCCCTCGTAATTCAACAGTCAGCGGACCAATGCAGGAACCAATCATTACCGAATCCGTCGACAGTGATTGATAATCCGGACATTTGTCTGCTCAAACTGTCCTCCATTGGTTTTTCCAACAAGGGTTGTCCATTACGACCATCAATAATTGTAGCCACAGTGTAATAATACGTGGGGAAACCAGCACCTATCTGGTGCTTTATCATAAAGTCTGGTACATCATCGTCGTTGTAATAACCAGGAATAGGAATACTGATTACTTCGGAATTAGGGACAGTGTAATTCCAGATAGGTTCGAACGTCGATCCATTGTACGCCATTATCGTAGAATTGAACATAGCTGCGATAATATCTTCGATTCCGTCCGATGTAACATCTATCAAAATCGGTGGTAGGAGTGCACCTTTTCCCGTATTATGGTTAAGCTTTCGTAATTGCTGCAACAAAAATGATTAAATGTTATTTATTATATAATTATAATTAAAAATTATTTATCATTATAATTAGAATGAAAAATTTAACAGTTCAATAATCTTTTCGCATCGCGACTTACAGAGACCTCGTAAATCTGAAAACTCTGATTAAACTTTAACCCACTTTGGAACCTCATTTTAGTAAACAGTCATGAGTCATATTAATCGACAGGGGGTATTCACGAAACAGGTTTTCACTTTTCTAACAGGATTGATCGCGTCCAGGAATTTAGTCGGATTAATGAACTGCGGCAAATAGATTCTAGACATATTGTTTCAATGTCTTCGATATAATCCATCACCGCGGATGCAGAAAACTCGGTCAAGTGGTACATGGTTATAATAACGAATTTTAGACAACTGTAGCATTCAGGGGACTCATTACACAAAATTGCACCCATGGAACATTTTAATCCTCTTTTAATGCTCTACAATTCTAGCCATGTCTCATTACTAATCACCAAGGACCTCATTTTTCACATAAAACTGGAGTCTTTTTTTAGATGCAGATATTCTATTTGATTACGTACCAAATCACCATAATACATGTTGGCTTGGGATACTATGTACAAGCCTCCAGCTTCCTGTTGACTACTTGTAGCCAGAACAAATATATTTTCTCCATCAGACTGCACCACAATTTGTGGTGCTATGAACAGCTGTTCTGTATCTGGTAAATTGACGTTACGTATGATGTTTCCACTTTTTCCTGATATCACAAGTACGTTACTTGCTCGAACGTCGTCTGATTGCATGGCGTGCGACGCTATTACATCACCAATACCATCACCATCTATATCCGTTATGAATCTTGCGTCATAGATATCTAAAACTCTTTCTTGCTTCGTCGTCGCTGCGTCTTCAATCGGTATTTCCCATATGTTGGAGCCATCGCGACCGTTAATGGCTTGCAGAATCCCACCGCGTCCAGATATCACGCAATCTTTGATCTTGTCGTTTGTCAAGTCTACATCGCAATCGATTGAAAATATGGCATGTGCAGTCCAATGTGTCCATATCGTTTCGCCCGTTTTGCCATTCAACGCCAATACACCGCCTAGACACGGTATTTGATTCTCAAAGTACACAGTACAGATATATTCTGGAGCATCCATTGTATCCAGACCTAAATTTAATAAATTAATTGCCATTATAGAATTAATCACATTTACCAGGTTTAGTTAAATTATTTTGATAATGTAAATAATAATAAATTATTCACCTCAAGTAATGTAACAAACATCATGAAACTGTGAAATTAAAGTAATCTGTAAAAAGATCTCTAAACAAAATAAAAGCAACAAATTGCAAATCATAATACAATGTAATATATAATTGGTGAAAAATTAATTAAAAAAAAAGTATATTAAATGCAGGATATTCGTTTAAATATAAAATAAAAATGAACATTTTGCTTAAGAATATATACCTGTACTAAATCCCACAATAATATCCTCAATTCCATCAACATTAACATCATTACTTCTAAGAGGTGCTTCGGAAGTTAACTTTGGCAACGTTCTAGTCCATAGAATTTTCGACGAGAGTGATGTACATGGAATTACTTCTGACTTGTTTACAGGAGTGTCTTTTAGTTCATGTGACAACCAATTTTTCAGTATACTTAATGGCATTGGGAATATATTCACAGTGAATATGCAAAGTATGATTAAACCTAATACTACAATTAATGCTGTAATTCCATAACACAGCGGCACAAGAAGTGCTTTGTATGGAACTTTATGAGTTTGAAAACTGCAAGATTTTTTGGGTTTCCTACGGGGTGCCATAAGAGGCCGTTTGACACCACCATCATCATCTAACTTCATTCCACTATTTCTTCCATCCCTGATAAATACCTCGTCATCAATATCGGTGAGATCATCATCATCGATGCTATCTTTCACTGCCAATTTTGGGTATACCACTGACATATTGAGTTATTTCGTATATCTAAAAATTTTTTAATTTAAAAGATTTAAACAAAATGGTTATTTGAATGATTTATGAGTTATAATAGTAGGGCTGAAAAATCAAATTTTTTGAATTTACATATATATATATATTCAATCAAAATTAATATTGGACGCTAGTGGTGAAAATAAACTTGGCAAACTTGATTTCGACGTAACTAGCAATTTTATTTAATTCTTTCACGACGTTTCGACCATTTGGTTGTGGTCCTTATGAAGTGAAAATTCCATTAATTAAACTGAGATTAACGCAACATCACACCGGTCTTATTTAAAATTAATAGTTAAAAGTTAAAAGAGGAACACGTCCCATTGCTATGATGTTTCGTCAACGACTCTTTTAACTTTTAACTATTAATTTTAAATAAGACCGGTGTGATGTTGCGTTAATCTAAGTTTAATTAATGGAATTTTCACTTGATAAGGACCACAACCAAATGGTCGAAACGTTGTGAAAGAATTAAATAAAATTGCTAGTTACGTCGAAATCAAGTTTGCCAAGTTTATATATATATATATATATATAATTGGGCGTGTAATTTAATGTAATATAAATAAATATATATATATATATATATATATATATGTGTGTAATTAAAATTTACACGCTTACCTTTATATTTTGATAGCATTTAAAGAAATGTCATTTTATAATACTTATTAATTAAGGAATATGAAATATAATAATCAAGAAATAAAATATCAAAATTATCAGCAATATTTACGCAGGTATCAATCATTACAATCTTCTAACATTGACAAGGTACTATCAAAGAATATAGACGAGTACAGAAACACGGTTCTCGGTACCCCGCAAGTCGCACAAACTGGGGTACTTTGCTATAGTTTACATCACGTATACTGTACTATCTATAACATTTCAGTACAGTATATGTGACGTAGACTATAGTAAAGTACATCAGCTCGTGCGACCCGCGGGGTACCGAGAACCGTGCTTCTATACTCGTCTATGGAGGCGACATGGTGGAGACGCCTATCGGCCGCCCGCGAATTATGAATTCGTTCATCCCAGATATTAGCCAAAATACTTAATAAATCTTATTAAATTTACGATATTCTTAATCAGTAAAATTGTCCGCAGGGCGGCAAAGATTGATTTTTTGGAAAAAGATGAATATAAAATTCATAATATAACTTGGGGAGATGCGCAGCTAGCAGCGGGTAAGGTTGGGTTAGCCACAAGATCGTATTTAATTTATTATAAATTTTTAAGAGCAATAATGAAAAATTCGACTCTGCCGACCTGCTTTATTATATAAAGAATATATTAAAAATATTTCACGAAGCTACGTAACTTCTTTTTATGTAATATCTGGGATGAACAAATCTCACCAGATCTATACTCATGGGGAAATTTTCGTGGTATTATACTGACAGCTTGACAAGGAGAGAGTATCATTCTATCTTTGTCTCTCTTGCATTTGATATGTGTAAAATCAGTATAAATACAAAAACCAATATATTACGCACACGAATAAGAAATATTCTACATCTGCTCATTATATATGAAAATATAAAAATAATGCAAATTAAATTTCACATTTATTTATAATAGTATTGTGAGGTAGTAACACACATGGAAATCTTATAAGATGAATGCTGTACATCGATTAGCGTAATATTATGATTACAAGTCGCAATAAATGATTTTGTTAATATATTAGGAGTACAAATAAGTTTCCGCCGTTTTTTATAAAAAATTGAATATTTATTGTAACAGAACGGTAGTTTAAGTTTATTCAAAGTATTGTTCATCACTAGCAACCACTTTTTCCCATCTCTCAGGCAGCATTCGAATTCCACATCTGAAGAACTCCTTATCTTTTGAGGTTATCCACGTATCAACCCAATTTTTGGTATCTTCATATGTTGTAAACCGCTGCTCCGACATAGCATGTGCCATTGACCGGAACAGATGATAGTCGGATGGCGCTATGTCTGGTGAATACAGCGGGTGGGGTAACACTTCCCAATCAAGTGTTTTCAAATAGTTTTTCACCGGAACCGCTACATGCGGACGAGCATTATCATGGAGTAGAATTCGTATGGAACCCAATTTCCTTATTTATGAATCATTCCTAATGATTTTAAACGATGTGAAACTGCTTGCTGAGTGACTTCTAATGTGAGAGCAAGTTCTTTTTGTGTTTGAGACGAATCTTCCTCCAATAATTCTTCCAATTCTGCATCTTCGTAAATTTTAGGCCTTCCACTGCGGTCTTTGTCTTCTACATCAAAATCACCGTTTTTAAACTTTTGAAACCACTCACGACACGTTCTCTCACTCAAAGCAGCTTTATTATATGCTTCTACGAGCAATCGATGCGCCTCAGCTGCAGATTTTTTTAAATTAAAAAAATAAATTAAAAGTTCCCACAAATGACGTTTATTTGGCTCAAATTTAGACATTTTCAGCTCAAGAAAATTATATTTTACTAACACGGAGTCACTAATATAGTAAGGTTATGTTATTTTAGAACGAACAGACTAATTTTTAAAACGGTTATCATCTGCAAATTCTAACGAAAACCGCGCGCCGCGACACCTTCCTTAAAACGGCGGAAACTTATTTGTACTCCTAATATTATTTTGAATAAAAATTTTATAAAAACAATTAAAATGAAATGAATAAATTTTATTCATTCTTTGTTTTTTCTATTATTTTTTCTATTATTTGAATAAAAGGCATATCGTATGTAATAGATAAATAATAATTTATATATATGTATATATTGAAATTAATATATATATATATATATATATATATATATATATAAATTTCAAAACGTAATTATATATTTATATAAATTATCTATCTATTTAATCTATTACACACGATACATCTTTTATTCAAATAATAGAAAAAATAATTAATAGAAGAAGAAAACAAAGAATGAAGAAAATTTATTAATTTCTTTTGTTTTTATATTTTAATTTTTATTCAAAATAATATATTAGCAAAATCATTTATTGACTTGTAATCATATGCTAATCGATGTACAGCATTCATCTTATATAATTTTCATGTATTAACTACCTCATAATACTATTATAAATTAATGTAAAATTTAATTTCCATTACTTTTATATTTTTATATGTGATGAGCAAATGTAAAATATTTCTTATCCGTGTGCGTAATATATAGGGGGTCCAATAACTAACGGACCAACGATTACAAGTGGATTCTGTGATCAATTTGGGAATGATTTTTCCTCAGCGAAAATGTCGAAAAAGGTCATCATTTTTTACAACTTTCCAATATTTGTCATTATGTATCTTTATATCTAAGTCTCAAATTAAAATTTTATTATAGTAAACTCTACCTGAAATTAACTGAAAAATATAATTATGTTAGACTTTTAACTCCAAAACGTTTAGTTTTCAAAAAATCCATTTTTCAATCGCTTATAACTCGAAAATTATTGACTTCTCAACTTTTTTGCTAAGGAAAAATCGTCTCCAAATTGGCCAGAGAATCCGCCCTTAATCATTGGTCCGTTAGTTACCGGACACCCTGTATATTAAAATATAATTATTATATAAATAATTAAATAAAAATATATATAATAAATAATTTATTACAATTAGGCACACGTATAAAAAACATTCTAATAATTTTAAATTACACAATAGTGATTACTCAGTCATAAGTGATCATAAATTGGACAATGGTCATGATTTCGATTGGTTTACTTCAGAAATTTTACATCATGAGAAATACGTAAGTAAACGAGAAATCGCGGAGATGTTTTTTATCAAAAAATTTGACAACACAATTAATTTACAAAAAGACATGGATAATCTAAATAATGTTTACGAAAAACTAATAAAGGTCATTTAGTTTGATCAAAATAGTGAGTATATAAGGAGCTCGAAATCGACACGATAACATAGTTATTTCGTTTTATACTATCATGTTATTATATGATGTCATATTTTAAAATCGAATTTTTGTTTTTTAAAAAAGTTGTGATTTACTTTGATTTAAGAACATAGGTATGGTTGCGTATTAACGTGTGAATATTTTTATATATTTTATTATTTTTATATTTATTTTTCTAATAATTAATATTATATATTATAGCACTTGATAAGGGCCGAAACCCACGGCCGAAACGTTGTGAAAATTCAATAAATTTAATTATTTGCCAGAATTGGTCGATTGAATTATTACCATTTATTAAATAATTTATTATATTCATAAAAAAAATTTATGTAATAATTTTTTTGAGTATCGCAAGGTCGGAGCAATAACATACTAGTCTATAAAAAAATATTTTGAATATTTTTTTTCAATTAATTTTTAAAATAAATTTTTAAAAATATTTTTATATATTCAAATACTTATTAGATTATATAAAAATTATTATGAATTATACTCATTGGAATAATAATTATTGATTGAAGCTTGTTATGGCACAAACTGAACATCTTGTACATTGTCTGTATAATATTTCACTTATTTATAAAATGTATTTTATAAATAAATGAAATATTATATATATATACACAGATATGACAACCGTTATCTTGATTTTTTCCGATTATTGATGTTACATTGTATAACTCTCATTTCTTTCTCTCTGCTACATAAGTACTTATGACGTAAAAGAACTTACGAGTAACGTATGATGGCTCAATGCAAGAATCACGTAAAAAACTTGAGTTCAAATATATCAATATCAATTTTTTTATAATATATTGGAATATAGAAAATTATAGAAATATATTTGTATATATAGGCGATAAACTTAAAAATTTGATATTGAAAATATTTTAATCATATTTTACAACTACACACACTATAAATATATAAATGCAAAATAATTCAAGTAATAAATTTCGTAAATAAATTTCAAGTAATAAATCAATTGCACATGCACATGCACACAGCTGGTATGTAGATTTTTATTAAATTTATTTTAAATTTATTTTCTGAATTATTTTACACTTATATATATAGTGTATGTAGTAAAAATATTTTCAATATATTAAAAAATTTTAAATCGCCGAAATATATTTTTTTATCATTTTTCTATATTCCAATTATATATATACATTCAATTCTTTATTCGTCCCCTAAGGGATTGAAGGCGCTTTTGAAGGAGCGTTCCCCAACCTTACAACCTCTTACAATGTTACTTATATCTACTCTTAACTCTACTCTTACATCTAATTTACAAATACTTAATTCTACCTTAACCTACTTATCTACTACTTTAGAGAGAGAAAGAGCCGTCCCTACCTATCGTTTCGCTTCGGCTTCCGATTCCCCATACATTCTCCACCACCTCATTCATACCTCACTCATTCTCCTCCTCATCCTTCCTTCCTCCTTTTCCCCTCCCTCCCTCCTTTCTTCCGTTCTCCCCTCTTCCCTCTTTTTCTCTATTTCTCTCATCCATCCTTCCCCTTCTCCTCCTTCCTGCAGTATTTCCTTCATTCTTTCCCACCAGTTTCCCTTCCCCCCTTCTCCCCCACATTCTTTTATCACATGCTCCCATGTTTCATTTTCTATCCCGCATAACCTACACCTTCTTTTCCCCTCTTCTTCCCAGTATCTCGCCCCCCTCATCTCATTGTTCATTCTGAACCTGATTATCCTTCTCCATCTACTTTCCCCCCATCCCTTTCTCAGGTATTCCGGTAAACCCTCCTCCTTCCATTCCCCATACCATCTATTATATCTCGACTCTCTTATCCTCTCCCACCTTTCCTCTTCTGCCTTTCCCTGTCTTTCTGTTCCCACCCCTCATATACTTCCTCTCCTCTTCCCCTTTT